CAAGACGGTGACTTCTTTGGAAAGTGGCATGCATGTGGGAACATATATTCAGTCCAAGGGGCAGAGCTGTTGAATCAGGGTGCTGCCATGATGGATCTCACCTCATTGTGTTGGGTCTTGTAATATTCGGAGTGCCATGTCCTCTGAATATTAACTTTTAGGTTGTTTCATAGTTATACTGGCTTTTCTGATTAAATGATTATTGCAACATACCTATGTGGCGGCAGTTTTTGTTAGGACGTGTCCAATGGCATTATACCTAAACTGTTGTTAAAGGACCAGTGTGTAGGATTTAGTGGCATCTAACAGTAAGTTGTAACTAAGGGTAAGATACCTGGGCTCTCTTGGTTTATCCAAGTCACAAATTTATCACACTGGACCTAAGATGTGCTATGTTGTCCTCTTAGATACTTTTCATCCTCTCATCTCAAATGAAGAAAAGCATGCATCACAATTATACCCTATACTTGCCATAACATGTTATGTGCAATGAACTGGTGCACCATGACGCACAGCAGCTATTGGTCCGTAATGCTGTCAGAGGGGCTGCTGTGCAATGACATTTGACAGGTCTGTGTGGAGGAGATTGTGGTCGACACCCTGCAACTACTGTATATGCTGGTTGTGCCGAGGTCTCTCTTAAAGCCTATTTCGAACTCTGGTTCAGATGACCTATGAGTGGTAAGCTGTTCTCCATTTGTCTGCCCGTTGCCCCCATTTTCCAGTGCGCATTGTTCTCAACGATGCACATCCTTCTGTCTCAGCCTGTGCTAAGCACCACTGGTAAGGCCTGCGGGAGCAAGAGGCCATGCGCAATACTCATATCCAAGAACATACATTGTATTCTCAAGTGACCTGGGCATGCGGGGGGCTTTGCTTATACATGTGTAGATGAGTATTCAAGCCTTTACAGCCCTGTTAGATGGCATCTGTACACTGTGATGGTAAATATTGTAAAAGCTTACACAATAAGACAACAGTCACGTTAACATGCTGACTGCAAATGCTGTATAGATAATAATAATAATAATAATAATAATAATAATAATCACTGTACTATGTCAAGTTGTTTGGTTTACTGGACTATATCCTCATATTCATGTATGACTGGATCTAATGTTGAACTAAATATAATATTGTATTTTGAATATATTCATTTAATGAAGAAAAACAGTGATCCTTAACACCTAAAAGATCCAATTAACTGTGATGAGCCATTTTTGTGTGACCATTTTATACTCTCTGTCACTTTTTGCTAGTGTTCACTGAGATAATGTGTGAAAAGCAAGGATACAATTATTGACAACAGAAATCTTTATATAACAAAGACATACATTGACTTAAGTCTTAGCAATAATACTCACTGGCAGCTATGACTGTGGATGATGTGCCTAATGAGAGTAGATTAATAGGCTTATACAAGGGAGATTTTTGCCTTTATCTGTGTTCCAGAAGAGTTAATACCTACAGTTCTGTTGGCCAGTGCAGTTCAGCAGTGTTAGGGTGCCTATAGAATATTTGATCTTTGAAGTAAATATAATATAGCTGCAGTTGAGTGGTCCACTATTACAGAGCAGTGAAAGGCAATTTCAAAGGCCAGAGTGCTGAATATACTACATTGCTAAATTATCTGTTTTAAGCCTCTCCAGGAGTATGGCTGTAGGGATGGCAATTTCGGTTGGTCAGTCCACCACTTTGGTCCAAACTGAGACATCTCAACAACTACTGGATGGCCTGCAGTTATATTTGTATAGACATCCATGGTCCCCAGAGGATGAATTCTAATGACCCCTGATTTTTGATATAGCACCATTAAAATCACATCAAAATGTCCTTTTGCCCAATACTTTGGTTTATGACCAAACAATGTCAAAGTCAATGACATTCCCATCAGTTAGACTTTGTACTAATGAGCAAATCTTAGCATGCTAAGATGCTAAATTAAGATTGTATCAGTGGTAAACATTGATGTTGAAACAGGAATGACATAATAAATACTTCATGACTAAATATTCGTAAAAAGATATATTGTATTTATTACATCTCTCTAGATCATTTTTTACATCTTTGCTTGCCTAACACTACATACAAAGTGACTTAACACGATGATCTTTCTACTTCACCACACAAATAAACTCATACTGCCATGTACATCTCTGAACACTTTCATTCACACTCACAACATGACAATAAACTCTTCTGATATATGTACGCCACCCTCAAGCCAATTACTTTTACCTCACCAG